TTCGTAATATGTGGATTTTTTCACAGATTGTGGATTTTTCACAGATTTGGTCTCTTTATATTTGTAGTGTGTGGATTTTTCACAGATTTGGTCTCTGTATATTTGTAATATGTGGATTTTTCACAGATTTGGTCTCTTTATATTTGTAATATGTGGATTTTTCACAGATTTGGTCTCTTTATATTTGTAATATGTGGATTTTTCACAGATTTGGTCTCTTTATATTTGTAATATGTGGATTTTTAACAGATTGTGGATTTTTCACAGATTTGGTCTCTTTATTTTTGTAATATGTGGATTTTTCACAGATTTGGTCTCTTTATATTTGTAATGTGTGAATACTCAGATTTTGGGTCTCTTTTATTTGTAATTGATGATAGAATCAGCGGTGAACATGCTTCACTCGTAGCTCGCGTAGATGTTCGAGTATCGATGAGAGAGTATAATTCCTGTGTAGGACTGGAACGACGTAATTGAAAGGCTATGCGTAAAGTGTGGCGTTCCAAAACTTACAGTCGATGATAGAGTGAAGATAGAGCAGAGATCCAGGCAACATGACCACAGGCAACATGACCACAGGTGAGGCAGGGTCGGACCGATGATGAAAAATGGATTCTCTATGTGAATACTAAACGCCAAAAACAATGGCAGTCATAGACAAAAACCACTTCCGACTCCAAATCCTGGACTTCACACTTAGGATAAGATTTTGTCGAAGATAGGGTTAGGATAAGATTTTGTCGAAGATAGGGTTATTCGGTGAATACCCCTCACAAACTCTACCCTTCGATGGATCATGTCCTGAACCTTCACCTTATGTATCTGTCATCTGATCATCTCGACTACAATACAACTCCGATGCCTGATCTTCCACCACACATCTATCTCTGATTGCTTTTCCTAATAGCGTGCATTAAAGTCATCTTCACCATCTCAGTACCTGGTCTCATTTACTCATCTCTCGTTCCTTCTTTCCACTGTGTACTTCTACATCTCCTGGCTACTGAGAGGACGCCCTCTGTTGGCCCGCTAGCCCTCCGGGCTGTAATGAAATGTCGTCAAAAAAAATGTTTCGATTTTCCATTATTCAGGGTTATTCATTAGGGGTGGAATTCCCTCGAACCAGTCTAACTCGTAACAAGGGGCAAACTGAATGATAAATTGGGTTTCATATATATTCTCAGAATCTTTAGTAGCTTGTCTCCTGCTTATTTGTTTACTGATAAGCAAAATTTATACAATGTGCTATCTGTGCTATGCCCACCGTGGGCGTCGAAACCAGATGTTTAGTGTGCTAAGTGTAAAGAATCCAGAATAATATATTAGTGGCATCAATGCGAAATATTCTTCATTAGCATAAAATATCCACTCTTTGCTGCAGGATTCTAAGGTCCCCTCATGATTCATAGAGGTCTCAATGTACCAGTCAAGTGTCTCCATTATCTTAATTATTTCTATAACAATCCCAATGCGCTTATTCTTTAACTGATTTGTCTGTTGCCATTTCCCGAACTTAATTCAATTCCTTTCAAAAGCAAATAGTTTAAATTTAGCTTCTCAGATTCGTTTTTTCTTCCTGTGTTTTTATTTGAATTCTTTCCATTCTCCAATATTCTCTGATTCATATTTTTCTTTCCGTTGTTTGGTGCTGTTTCCCAAACTTAGTTAAATTCAACGTTGTTTTTTTTATTCTCAATTTGTTTTGATATTCGTGGTGGTCAGAGCACAGATAGCCCATTGTGTAGCTTTGTGCTTAACTTCAAACAACCAAACATGACGAATGAAAGGTTATCATAGGAAATGAAAAGCTGCTTCCCTTATATGTATCTGTAAAAAAACGCCAATAAAAACTTCAAAACACAAAATGTGAAACCGCAACTTTGCGTGTATCTCCCACGGACCTAACAAACCTTCATGCCAAATTTGGTGAAGATCCATCAACAGGGGTAAAAAACTCCCATAAAAACCGCAAAACTGAAAATTTGTATGTACCCCCACATGGACCTAATGAACCTCCATATCAATTTTGGTGAAGATCCATCGACACCCTGCGAAGTAGTTACATGGACATACAACAAACAGTACTATTATATTTATGTAGATTCTATTTGGACTCATAAAGAATTACCGCTCTCCAAAAGACATTACTTAAAAACCTCTACGTGTGGTAAACTAAGTAGTTACCTTTCAAAATATGCAGCATGAGGTTAATAATACAACGAATCAATATTTTAAAATAACACAGGTTTGTGTTGTTGTTGTAAATGGGCTATTTACGCTCTATCCATGGCAGCGAAATCAAACCAAGGATTTTAGCGTTGTAAGTCTATAAACTTACCACTGATCCATCTAGAAACACAAATATCACCTTTTTGTGTGTGTTACATTTGCCATAAGCCATAAATCACAAGTATTTCTAGCACGTTTTTTTTTTTCGTCCACTTTCTCCACTTATTTGTTGTTGTTGTTTCATAACTTACTGCTTTTTTAAAGAAACTAAATAACAGTTATGTCTTGTAAGATGGCGGAAATTTAATATAAAGTTAACCCTTTCCTCATCAAAGCTTCTTTCATCTCCTTACCTCGGTAATTTTAATTTTGCTTAATGTTATTTTATTGTATAAACTATTGTATTTCTCATATTATTTCTTTGAATAGGGTGCTCGATATGATAATAAGCGGGACGTCCTTGTCTTCGAGCACATCCGCTCTTCTGTTGTTGTTGTTTTTGGCGTTGACACCAGATGTCGCTAAACTCGGTGAAGCCACACCACCAACGGAAACTGTCCAGTTTGAAGTAAGTTAAAGACATTACAAGTTCTACTAACGTGATTTGAATTAGAGCGAGTGTGGTTTTTAGTTCTAAAATTCCTCACTGGGATAACGATCTAAAAAATGCAATTATCCATCCACATACAATCTCTTTGACGTAATTACATATTACTAAATGCATGAACAAAGATGTCTTTAGCAGGATGACAATTTTCAAAAGGATTGGACAATTCAATTGCAGTACCGATTTTCAATCGCCGTATTACAAACATTGTCCTCACGTCCATAAGACAGCTATAATTTATATCCTCTGGTATAAAGCTATAAAGTCCTTTACCTAATAGGTAGTTTGAAACCAGTATTTCGACGTACAGGGTTCTGACCGGACAGCTCCGTCAACGTCCGCTCACACAAAAAAAGTACAGATGCAATTAATGAAAAAAGATGGAAGACGGCCAGTTAGTAGCACCTTACCATCCAACATTTCTGCTAAAAGATTGACTGCTATTCTTATAACGCATCTACACATTAAAGTGCGGGGAATATTTGTGGTATTGTACCAATTCGAACCTGGCTTTCCCTATCCGAAATCCAGAGCTCTAATGAAGACCAATCCGCCCCCAAACATACTATCCCATCAGACTCCGTGTAGGCCCGGCATGGCCAGGTGGATAAGGCGCTCGACTCACAATCTGAGGGTCGCGGGTT